TTCTCCAGAGATTTGTAATGAAACCACCAAGTCCATTGTTACCTCCTCTGACATTCCTAACCCCCGAGTCCTCCGCCTGCTCGGTGTGCATAAGGCTGTCAGCCGAGTGTTCAACACTGACAGCCACTCCAGAGCGCCAGGATGTTTTTGGTGAGAGAAAAAGGTGTGGACAAAGGAATGCGGGGGTGGGGAGGGGGAGGGGAGGGGGTCTGTTTCCCCCACGGGCAACCCTGACTTTCATCGGCCGGCTTCACCCAACTCTCTCTGTGCACTGTCTTCGGTTTCCTTTCTTTTTGGTTGTCACTTTCTGGGCACTTTTTCCATTTCAGGGAAGAGCCAAACCCTTGACAAGCAGCATCTCATTTAAGTTTCTAAAGAATCCTGCCAAGGTTACCGTTCAGCATCACAGTGGAGACCAGGAGGCTCCCAGCCCCCCAGCCTCACTCTCCCTCCTAACGCCGAGGGGCTGGGAGGGACTTTAACAATTGCCAGATGTGACCTGAGGTTGGGAGGTTGAGTGCAGCCTGGAAGACCCCACCTCTCCAGGAAGCTCTCTACCTACCTCTGCCGGGGCCCGAACGGCCGCCTGGTCTTTCCACTTCCTGCCCAGGTGTGGAGCCAGGTCCTCAGAGGACGTTCCAGAGCCTGGGCTCCTGGGTGCCGGGTGGTCCTCAGAGCTCCCGACTTGCTGCAGCTGCTCCTGCTAGTGAGAGGGGATCCCAGCTCGGTACTCGGGCCCACCCTCCGCTGACCACTTCTAAATCAGGACAGATCTCGTGTCTATGTAACTACACTCTACCCATCCACGCACCCGTCCACTCGGGTGACGTGAGCGGGGAGACTCGATAGCGAGACTCGATAGCCTGATAGGTCTGTGTAACTCGTGGCTTCATTACTTATAAGCCTTGTGACCTTAGGCAAGGTACTTAACCTCTCTGATCGTCATTTTTTCCCATCAGCAAAACTGAGAAGGCAAGGTCTACTTCATTCAGTTATGTTGATGACTTCAATATGTTCATGCTTGTAAAACACTTCGAACGATGTTAGCCATGACCATTGTCAATTGTCCAAAGGTCCGAGTGGTAGTGAACGTGGCTAGCTGGAGCCACCCAAGACCCCAAAGTAACTAAAAATGCCTTTGAGTGGAGATAGACGCCCCAGAGTTCATGTCCTTTACTGTGGGGGTGGTGACGCCCTGCCCTTGGCTGTTACCCAGACAAAGGCATGTAAAATATGGCAGCTGATAGCAGCTGCTGGAACACAGAGAAGTGACAGCTGCGGGGAAGAAGGCAATGGAAGAGCCACAGACTCAGAGCGCAGCTGTGTCAGGCCATTTAGTGGGATGGCCAGCAGCCCTGCGTGTCCTGGGCCCCACAGGGATCCCTGCCTTCCCATATTGTGCAGAAGTGCATGCCAGCAGTCATGGGGAAGAGGTTAATGAGGGTGGATACACAGTAGGGAACTGTGCCAAGTATTTAAAAATATATTACCCAAAGGCTGAAATTCTTTGGTGCCAAAGGAACAAGTGTCATTTCCCTGTGACATCCCTCGTTGGATAAATGAGTCACATAATGACCAGGACTCCGAAGGCTTCTGCTGAAGGTTAGAGGAGCCTGCTCATGGACAGCATCCTGTTCTTAGAGGAATCTCATTAGCCTCTCATGCACAGAGCCTGGGTTTGGCGGAGCAAACAGGGCCGCTGTGTGAAAGATGGCCCCAAGCACCTCCAAGTGGCCTGGGGCTCAAGGGAGCCCCTGCTCCCTGCTTGCCCTGGGAATCCTGACCCTTTCTTCCAGGTGCTCAAATGCCACCTCCTTCAGGAAGCATGGCATGGCTTGCACTTTCTATGTCAAGGGTGCCTCTGCCTGGCTAGCCTGGAGCTCTTCCAGGCCGTGCCAGCTCTGATGTTGGTAAATCTCTGTATCATCATTTCCCTTCTGCCCCGTCGCTCCCTCCCTGAGACTTCTCCTTGCTTCCCAGCACCATCCAATGGGAGAATTCTCACCTGCCCATGTGGGATCACTTCCTGCTGGGAGCTCCCAGCATCCTCCTCTTCCTCCTCCTCCTCCTCCAAGTCATCGAGGTCAGATTCACCCTCGGCAATGGGCACAGAGACCCACACGTTAGGATTGGTGATGAAGTCACCATGGCTGTCCCCGGGGTCTCTGGGAGCCGGGAGCCCCCCGGGGCTCCCCAGGGCCGCATCGGCAGCGATGTGGTTCTTGGCTTTGGAGCTGGAGAGTGGGATCTTCACCACCAGCTGGGGCTCTGCCTTGGTCCGCGAGAACAGGCAGGGCCTGCGGAAGAAGCTGCGAACAGTCTTCATGGTGCGATGGCCAAACGCCTGGACCCGGGCCAGGGCCACCTGCAGGTTGTTCATCTCCCCATCCTCCTCTGTGGCCGTGAGGTTGTCGGCGCTGAAGGAGTTCAGCAGCAGGGCGATAAACAGGTTGAGCACCTAAAGGGAAGGAGTGGAAGGAAAGACTGCTCGGCCAACGACCTGAGCCCCTCCATGGCCCATCGGCCCCGGTGACATGGCAGGATAGCCGCACCCGGGCCTCTCCCTGCATCCCGGGCTGCTTTCCCTCTTGGGGGAACGGACCGTCTGAGAGCAACCGAGGAGAGCCTTGGGGATGTCATAAGTGACCTGCCCCATGTACATAAGGCTTGGAAGCCTGTTCTCCACCACAGAGGAGGATCGCCCCTGCTGAGCGAAGGGACGTCCAGGGACAACAGGGAGGAGCAGGTGCGGGCCTCCCTGGGACCACCTGCCAAAGCCCTGGGTCCTAGTCCTCACTCTGGAATCCTGGACACATCTCATTGCTTCCAACCTCACGCCTTCCCTGTAAGCAGGGAGTGGGGATTCTGAACCTCTCAGACTGGCTGTGAAGAGGAAAGGACGGGGGGATGGATGTAAAAGTGCTCAGAGAGGCAAACCTCCTGCCTGAGGGCTAGGGCCTGGGGCTCTGCCGGCACGGTGAGCTCAGCCTACAAGAAAGGGGTTTCAGCCAGCCCCGCACTGGGAATGTGGCCGGAAGGCATCTCTGCCTCCGGAACCTGGGCGGGAAAGACTCGGACGAGCCTGGATTTGCTCTTTCATCCCTCTTCTTGGTTTAGCGTTCTCTGTCTGTAAAACTCTTACGGCAAAAGAACCTCAGCTGGTTGACTTCCAGGGCAACAAGTAAGGGGCCTCTGGAAGTCCACCACCCCCTCTAGCCAGTCGGTGCTGGGAGACCAAGGGAGCCCAGAACCAGCGTGGCTGGAGACAAGCTGAGGGCGAGGAGCCAGGCTGGGGCAGAGAAGGGGTGCTGGGGCCGGTTGTCAGGACATCTCCAGAGAGGCTCCCCTCAAGCCTGGGAGCGGGCTGTGTCATTGCCACAGTGGGCTGGACGCTGCCCATGGTGCAGCTTTCCTTATTCATCTCGTCCCATTGCGCTTGCTCCCTGCTCTTAGCCAGGCCCTTTGTAGCTTGGAGAAACCAGCCGGCTTTACCCCCCTGGAGAAAAATATTTTCTGGAACTCCCAGGAGCGGGGAAGGAAATTTTTCCTTTAATGACTGACTAACAGCTATCCCTTATTGAGTTCCTGCCATAGCCCAGACACTGCAGTGGCAATTTGCATATGTCATCTCCTGTAATTTAATTCTCCCAGTAAGCCCACGAGCAAGCACTGTGTTCTTGATTTTAAGGAAATGAGAGCTCGGGGATATTGTCCCTGGCGCTGGGTCGGCCATCACGACCAGCAGTGGAGCTGGGATTCTAAGCCAGGTCCTTGCTTTTCTGCCACGTGTGCTCATTCCCACAAGTCAGGCCGCCTCCCCAGGGACAGTTCTTACAATGTGACTTATAAATGACTCTGAAAAGTCTGAAGGCCTTCAATCCGGGAGGGACTCTGTGGGCATAAGAAATGTGCAACGTCCAAGCTTTTCAGGACAACCCGGAAGTTTCCACTGTTGCCCAGAGACAGTGCCCCAGGGGGGCTCCGCACTCACCACCAGGTTCCCCAGCACCATCACCATCAAGAACAGGATGAGGCAGATGGACTTCTGGCCGACTTCCATGCAGGCCCACATGTTCTCAATCCACTCCCCGCAGAGTATCCGGAAGATGATGAGGAAGGAGTGGAAGAAGTCGTACATGTGCCAGCGAGGCCAGTCCTCGTCGGGCGCAGAGATGTTGTGCCGCTTTTCCCGGTAGGAATCCCCGAGGAGCTGCTTGCCCACCAGAGCGAAGATAAAGACAATGATGGCCAGGATGATGGTGAGGTTCCCCAGAGCCCCCACGGAGTTCCCGATGATCTTGATGAGGGTGTTTAAGGTGGGCCAGGACTTGGCCAGCTTGAGGACTCGCAGCTGCAGAGAAATAGAGACGGTGTCAGGTCCTGGAGCTGTTCTCATCACCTTTCATCTCAAGTCTTGGCCAGGCACCAAAGGTCTAGGAAAATCACAAGGCAGCTCATTCCATTAAGATGGGGCGCTCCCAGGAAGGTGCCCTTACAGAACTTTCTTCCTATGTCATGAGCTACTCAACAATATTATCAGTCCTCTGGGGTCCCTGCATATTCAAGGTGCTTCACTGACTGTGGCAAAGTCAGGGGGCTTATACTGGGGTGGTGGTCTTGCCGTACGTACTCTATTCTGTAGCCACTGGCCTCCTGGTGTGGGCCTATTCTGTGGGGGTGGAGTACAGGCTGATGGAACTCACAAATAAGTGAGAACAGTCCAGGTTTGACCTGAAGAGAGGCTGGCCTCCTGCACATAGGGCATGGCCCATTGCATTTGAGAGGTATTGGCTATTTCTTAGGGCATTTCTTATCTTAGGGCCATGGATGTGTGTATCTGTGATATCAAAGATACTGGAATAGCAAGTATCTATGATATCACAGACCCAGCAATGAATGACCCATGTGTTCATTGAATAGATCAACCAAACTGCCCACCTTATTGAATGCCAACCACTTGTATACATGGCACTGTGCCAGCCCAAGAGGTGTGTGGAGAGAGGCTCCTGCCCTCATGGAACGAATGGTTTAGTTAACAAAGACAAGTCAAAGAGCCTGGCTGGTGTGGCTCAGTGGTTGAATGTCGACCTATGAACCAGGAGGTCATGGTTCGATTCCCAATTAAGGCACATGCCCAGGTTCAGGCTCGATTTCCATTGTGGGGCGTGCAGGAGTCAGCTGATCAATGATTCTCTCTCATCATTGATGTCTCTATTTCTCTTTCTCTCTCCCTTCCTCTCGGAAATCAATAAGAAAATATTTTTTAAAAAGACAAGGCAAAGACCTCCCCTCCGCCCCCGCAAAGTCTTCATTGTACACCCAAATGTGCTAAATTCCACAAGAGAGCAAAAGCACCATGCATAAAGATGTATAAACACTTAAAAATACATTTGTGTGGTTCTCTAATTTGTTAGAAAGAAATATCTGGGCTCAGCTGTCATGGGGTGTTTATGGAGCACCTACCAAGAGCCAGGCTCTGGATCAGGTGCTAGGATGACAGAGCAGGACAGCAAGTTTTATCACCCACACAGCAGTGGGTGCATCCCAGGGGAGGAGGGTTAACCCTCTTACCCCGGAAGCGCCGTACCTTAGACCTAACCAGGACGTTATTCTCCTTATACTGGAAGCAGAGCTTGAAACACCAATTCTGTGGACTGGACATAGAGGCGGCTGACAAACCCTAATCAAAACTGAGTGTTTGTCACTAGACAGAGCCCTTTAGTGGAGGGTATTGGGAGGATGCAGACTTTCCTTAGCAACACGATTGATAAGTTTCCATTCTCATGGTAAACTCTGGACAAGAGCAAAAGCAGAGGTTGGAGTAGGGCCCTGCCACAGGGTGACAGCCACCCACCACACCACAGAGTCTGAGGGGTCTGACTTGGGACAGTGAGGGACACCGGGGCAAGCTCACTGGCACCTGGGCAAAAAGGCCAGGCATTGGCTCTTGTCTTAATCCCACCTGGTTCCTTAATTAGTTGGGGTGGATTTGGGATGGAGAGTTTAGATATTAATATAGTTGGATTCTAATACAGTTGACCCTCAAACAACATGAGGGTTGGGGTGCAGGCCTCCCATGCAGTCAAAAATCCATGTATAGCTTTTGACTCCTCCAAAACTTAATTAGTAATAGCCTACTGTTAACCAGAAGCCTTACCCACAACCTAAACAATGAACACATATTTTATGTTGTATGTATTATATACTGTGTTCTTACAATACAGTCAGCTACAGAAAAGAAAATGTCATTAAGAAAATCTTAAGATTAAATACATTTACAGTATTTATTGGGGGGGGGGGAGGAAACCTCATGTAAGTGGACCCACACAGTTCAAACCCACGTTGTCCAAGGGTCAACTGTATTAGAATCCCCTAAGATAGCAGTTTGTTGTCCATAATTAAGCTTATATTAAACTGCGAGCAAGTTGTGTATAATTCTCACTATAGGGTATAAATGGAGTCATCCTCTATTAATCCTTTTGTTGTCTTTATAAAGGACAGGAAAACAGGGTCCCTCCATTTGCTGTTCTAGAGATGTCTGGGCATGGGGACCACTACTGTTAGCCAGTCAGTCAACACTCACTTACAGAGCGTTTGATGCTGGGCTGTAATGCATGTGCCCCCACTTCCCCAAACCACCTGGCTGGCCCCTGCTGACACTAGAATGAGTGGTGCCGGAAAGCAGCCCCACCTGTGTCCATGTTCCCCTTTGACCTTCACCTCCACCTCCACCCCCATCCAGTTGCTCTCTGTAGCCTTTGCCCAGCTTAGCATTACAACAAAAGAATTGCTCCATATTATCACGGAAAATTTATAAACTATTGCTTTTAATAGTTGCTGAGTATTCTTCATATCTAATTAACCTCTCTAGTTAATCTCATAACTAATCTAAAATTTTCTGTTTAGGGGGAAAAGTACACTGCTTCATATCCCAATCGATAAACCATGGGGTTAAGTCTTTCAGTGTTGAAGACCAGTTAGGTTTTTTTTAACGAAACGGAGCCACTCTTAGCAAAGATTTTACTAATGGTGTGGCCACCACTGAGTTGAGGGAGAAAGGCATGGGGACCAGAGAGCAAAGAAATAAAGCCGCGCTGAGAACTCCGTCAAAGAAAGCACGCGGGCATGTTGCACGCAGAGTGGCCTGAGGCTGGCCGTCTAAGTTTTAAAAGAAGTGAATTGCAAAGGAAACCATGGCCCCTGACTGCAAAGGCTTTGTCTGTTTAAAAGGTAAAATGAGCCCCGGCCTCCCATTTCCCGCAAGCTGTAGGCAAGCTCTGAAGGCTGTACAGACCTGGCTTGCATCATACTATGACAGGAGAGAGAAATACCCCTTATTGGGTGAAGACACTGAGTTCGGGGACTGTTTGTACAACACGAGAATTATTTACTGTTGATTGTCACAGATTTTTTAAAAATTTTTTATTAAAAAATATTTTTATTGATTTCAGAGAGGAAGGAGAGGGAGAGAGAGATAGAAACATCAGTGATGAGAGAGAATCATTGATCGGCTCCTTCCTGCCCACCCCACACTGGGGATAGAGCCAGCAACCCCTTGTGTGTGCCCTGACCGGAAATTGAACTGTGACCTCCAGGTTCATAGGTCGATGCTCAACCACTGAGCCACGCCAGCTGGGTGGAGTCACCGATTTAAAGAAACAAAATAAAACTAAACTACTTAACAGAATTGTAAGTTGGGAAGGGGTAACAAATGAAAATTTGTCTTGGAGGAAAGTAAAGATTTTAGCTAACTTTCACTTTGTTTTAAGCTAACTGCTCATGCTGGAATTACTAAGGTAAACCACTCAAAGAATAAAAACAGAGTCTTCTGTTTCAAAACCAATAAAAGGGACAGAGGAATAAAGAAAAACAAACAACCTAAAAGAAATCGAGAAGGGTGGGGGCAGAGAGAGAGAGAACACAAGTGTATTTGAGCACCAAAGCAAATGGAAAACCCAA